TCTGAAAAGTCATAAACCTGTCCTATCCCGGTCAGCTGACCCAGACCCCGTTGCTATGGTAACCGGTCTTGTTTTCAGGTTTTTCTGTCTTGTCATTTGTTAAACATGTTGTGCTATTCAGATAATTATCTTTTTAGCTTTTCAATAGTCTTAATAGTGTTTTTTTTAGCTGAGGTTTGTGCTTTTGTCTCATAAGAGCTCAGTTACTAAATAAATGTCTGTGAGCCCAGGCTCGTTGTCCACAGTACAAATACATAGGTACAAATACTCAGGTACAAATACTCAGGTACAAATACACAGGTACAGAGACACAGGTACAAATACACAGGTACAAATACACAGGTGGGCCCAGTCAAGCAGAAGTAAACAGCAAGGCCAAAAATTCAAGTTAATGCATCTGATATAAAAATGTATTCAACAGATACATATGTACTCTAGTTTATGAAACTGTTTACCTTTTTTCTGTACCATTTTTTATTTTAAAATTACACACATTTTAAACAGACCATGTATGAAACATGGAACAAAAATTATTTCCCAAATTTCAAAGACCTGCAAATCATGTAAATAAATGGATGTATTTCATCATATCTTGTGTTATTCCATCTTTGAACTGTTGATGAAGGTACATGATTTTTCAAAAAAAAAAAAAGTATTTAAAATGATAAAAATTTGCTTGGAAGGACTGACATATTTTATAGAAATAGTTTCCTTTCATTTTGAGGTAATATTAAAGTATTCGGAAGAAAAAAGCTGACAAATTATGCAAAACCATGCACCTTCTACTTGCTTACACAATTTTCCCTCCGTTACTTTTCCCTCCGTTATCATAACCTTTCTTAATAAAAAATCTCATTACTCAAAAAGTAAGAGGTTTTTCAACCTAATCTTGTACCATATGGTAGAAAACTATATGAAGCAAATATTCAAACCAGTTTGTTGAATATCGCAGGTTTAACTTTACCCTGTTGGAGTGTTAACTCTTTCCTACATTCTGATACTTTACTTATTTCAATAGTCCCTCTAGTTTTTGAATAAGAGCTATTTGAATGTAAAAAATCTGCCCGTTTCCCTCCGTTACCACTTTACCGGACCCAGATACAAATACACAGGTACAGAAACACAGGTACAAATACGACCGGAGCACCGTCCTCCATCTACAGAAGTGTAAGATTTTATTCCAGATCCATGCCTCCATAGCGTTTATCAGATTATTAGACTCACACGCAGCTGTACTCAAGTTAGTCTCGGTTCTGCACAAGTTTTATTACCCAGTGTTTTGTAGTTTCTCTTAGGTTAGGAATGGGATGCCTCGTGGAAGTTTATTAGAGCTGCCAGCTTGAAGGGCCGATGCATGGAATTTATTCTACATGTTTGTTCTTGTGTACTGTATGTGTGTGACATAAACATGCACGTGACATGAGAAAATCTTACCAGTGTTTTGCGTCTTGGGCAGTGTAGACGGAAACGCTACGGTGGAGCGTATGCAACTTTTCCACTCTGGAGGATGGTTTCAGATTTTTGTCTTTTTAAGCCTCCAAAATGCCGTCACCCTCTAAAGGAAAGGCACTTCCGATAAAATATTTTGTCATTTTTACACACAGGCATTCTTGTGTAAACAGGCCCTTAATATGATCTTGAGCTGTATCTGCCTGCAATGTTCCACAATACGGTATTAAACTTCTAGAAGATGCATTTAGGTGTGGGTTTTTATTGCTCAAAAATATCTATAAATAACAAAAAGCATCCTGACTGTGAGTGGGGTCACCTCTTTACAGATCTCACTGTGAACTGGCCCAGTGGAGAGGTTTAATGTCATACTTTCGAGCAGAGGTTGTTAGGAATTACTGGTCAGACCCAAATATGCAGAAACAAAGGTATTTATTAACAAAAATAGTCTTGGAAGGGGGGTAGGTTCCAGGGGAGGCAGGAGGGGTCCAGGTTGGCTGCAAATGCGAGGTATGTGGTGATGGAGGCTGACCAGAGGCTTGAGGAACAGGTGGCAACGGGATGAGGCTGGCTCCAAACGGAAGAACTGGGGATCGGACAAAAGAAACTGGTAAGAATCAAAAATCTTCAGAATGCTCGAAAAACACACAAAAACCCTGAGTTGTTCACCACTGGAGTGACGGAACGATCTGGCACTGAAGAGCAGGTCAGCAGGTCTTTTATGGCAGGAGATGATTGCTTGTTGAGGACCAGGAGTGGAGCTCAGCAGGTGTGTAACTGGGGACCCGCCCAGGAAACACAAAATAAGGACGGGAGAGAAGGGAAGAGGGATCAGGGAAAGGAGGGGTACGAGGAGCAGGAAGAAACCCTCACAGAGGTGGGACCAAGTCGCTGTTTTGCAAGTCTCCAGTCTTTGACCTCAAGTCCGAGTCAAGTCCCAAGTCAAATACAGGCAAGTCCAAGTTGAGTTTCAAGTCACTGGCCCATAAATCCAAGTCAGAACTAAGTTGTCTGCTTTGAGCTTCAAGTCAATAGAAGTATTTAAACAAAGCACCAAATACAGCTTAGATTTTTGCAATTTGATTTTTAAGATAACTTGTACTTAAAAAAAAAAACATAGTTTATTTTTATCTTAGTATTTATAGACAGTGTTGGGAAAGTTACTTTTAAAATGTATTCCCCTACAGATTACACACACCAAAATGTAGTTTGTAACATAATCCATTAAATTTCTTAAAGTAAGTAACGTAATCTGAATACTTTGGATTACTTGATATTGTCATGCTTTTTAGTTTAGTTCTGGTTTTAGTCCTGGTTTAGTCCTAGTTTAGTTCTAGTTTAGTCCTAGTTTACTTCTAGTTTAGTCCTAGTTTAGTTTTGATTTTAGTCCTAGTTTAGTTCTGGATTTAGTCCTGGTTTAGTCCTAGTCTAGTCCTAGTTTAGTTCTGGTTTTAGTCCTGGTTTAGTCCTAGTCTAGTCCTAGTTTAGTTCTGGTTTTAGTTCTGGTTTAGTTCTAGTTTAGTCCTGGTTTAGTCCTGGTTTTAGTCCTGGTTTATCCCAAAATGTGAAAACTGAAAATTACCGCCCTGTAATCCATTTATTTCAACAAAGTAACTGTAATCCAATTACCACTCACTGAAACAGTAACTGTAACTGAATACAGTTACTCATAATTTGTACTCTGATTATGTAACTTTAGTACATGTAATCCAACACTCCCCAACACTGTTTATAGAGTATATAAGAGTTGTAGAAATGTTAAATTTTCCTTTTTAAATGTCTTCACAAGATTTTAGTGTGAATCATTACAGTCAGAATAGAAAGAAGTCAGATTTAAAAGTTCTTCTTAATCACAGGCCTCAAGTCCGAGTCAAGTGCCAAGTCACTGACCTTCAAGTCCAAGTCGAGTCCCAAGTCTTAGTCAGTTTTATCAAGTTAAGTCTCAAATCCTAAAAATAGTGACTCAAGTCTGATTCGAGTCCAAGTCACGACTCGAAAATCTCCACCTCTGCTTTCGAACATTGCAGTTAAAGCAATGACATCTTAGAGACAAGTAGCAGAAAAGTTACACAGTGCACCTTTAAGATAAAAATAAACAGAACTGAACGGTATTATTACGAGTGCGTATCTGAGGGTGGATACAGATTGCTTACAGATTGTTTTGTTTACCACCAGAGGGTTAAACAGTGTCTGTGTGAGCGCGAGCACGTATCCCTCTCCCTTTTTATTCCTTCTTTTTTTATGAATGAGCTCTGACACACGCTCCCGGGGTGACGTCAGCGCGGGCCCCACCCCCAGTGATGCGGGAAAAACCTCACGACGAAACGGAGAGCGAGAGAGGAGCATCCCCGCGAGCGACGGCCTTCCTCTACCTCTCTCCACCCGTCTCTCTCTCTCTGTTCTTTCGTTCTTTCTCTCTCTCTCTCTCTCTCCCTCTCGCCCACACACACGCGCGCGCCTCCACCCCCCTTTTTCCTTTTTCACGAGGACCCGATGAGTAATCCGCCGAAGCGAACGACGAGCCAAAACACACCCTCTCCATCCGCCGTTTTGCGCGCAGCATCAGGACCACAGCAGCCGTCTCCAACCATCAGACGTGGATCTTTCGCGATTTTCCACGACAAAAACCCCAAATTACTTCTAGTGCATTGAAGGATTACAGTCTACAGCGAATCCAAGAGCTAATATCGCCAATTACGGGCTTTTCCCTTCACCTCGGCGCCGACTTTTTCTGGAGAACATCGACAGGAGAAGGAGAAGGAGACGGCATGGCTGCAACGGAACGGTACCCGGCTACTTCCAGGATAGCAACACAAGCTTCGTTTTAAGACATTTAAACGTCTATAACAGCGGGAGATCACTTTTTTGTCGTGTTTTGTGGTGTTTTTTTCTTCTTTTTTCCCCCCTGCATGTGGCGTTATATCAAAAACGTAGGCAGCCACTTTGACGTCAGCAGTGGGTTGCGTACTAGTGATTAAAATAGGATAGGCTACTTATTTTTACTAAACTCAAATCAATTTTTACTCTCTTTTGATATAATTATCTCATACAAATATTATATTATATATTATCCATTCACAAACAATTTTCAGATAAAACTGTACTGAGCATTGACTGGGTTATTGAGTTTACTTGAAATTGATTAAAAATGTAAAAAACGATGTTATTCTAGTCGTTTATTTGTTAAAAAGTACGTTACAATTTGCATGAAAATATTTACTAAATTTTATTATTGCTTTACTTGTATAGAAAATGCATTTTAGAACAAAGAATAGAATACTAGAATTGTTTTAATTGAGGCATAACTGAGTTTTTTTTTTTTTTTTTTTTTTTATTTACGATTGAGCTTACTACTTGTGTGAACTACAGTTTTGGGGCAAACCCTGCGTAATTTTTTTTGAATGAAATATACCTGCGACCAGCGACTAGTGGCCGACAGATAAAATGATTCTTTAAAGGCATTGAACTTTTTTTTTTTTCATTGACAATCTTAAACGGACTGCCATTCAAGGCCTGTCGAACCATCTCGGGAGCTGGCGAGTGTCTTGGTCACTACGTCTGGCATGTTCTGCTTCTGTTTGCAAAGTTCACTGCTCAAGCTCCAGGCGCTGGATGTGGAGGGGGGGTCCTCGCTGGGTCCGTCCCCAGAGGAAAGCCCTCCCGCTCTGGGCAGCAAAGACCAGAAGAGCCCCTGCAGCCCCGTGGTGGAGCTGGGAGGGGTAAAGGACGGGAAAACCATCGCTATGTGCCACAGCGTCGACGAGAACAGCCCGCCAGGTAAACGCACCTACTGTATGGAAAGAGAGGGAATGTTCCGCAGTGTGGCATTAAGCATCTATCCATTGGAGTGTTTTATTGGTCAAAAAAAAAAAAAAAAACAACATCTAAAAACATGAATTCTTACTACAAGCGGGGTCGTCTCTCCACTGATCTGACCTGTAACTTGGCTGTTTGTCGCCATGTGCCTAGGTAACACAAATGCCATACTGTGGAACATTCCAGGCAAAGCAATAACATCAAAGTATCAATATTGGTATCGCGATCTCCAACTCTGACATGGTGAAAATAAGTGCTCTAGTGACCTACTTACCCACTTCTACCAGTTGCTTCAAGAGCAGAACCAAATGGGAAGTTTAAAGGTGCATTGTGTAACTTTTCTGGTGGAGGGTCCGTCACTTATACTCAATACTTTTCTCCAAGGAGATGTTATTGCTTTGTCTGGAATGTTTCACAGTATGGCGTTAAATCTTTCTATCTTCATGGAGACCAAACCAGACCAATTTACAGGTCAGAATGCCGGATTTTCTAGGTGTTTTTGAGCTATAAAACCAGCTGTAATTGAATAAATTATAAAGTAGAGCTGTTTAATGTCATACTGTGGAACATTCCAGGTAGAGCAATGACATATCCATAGAAACAAGCAGGTGACCGGTAGCTTCATTCATCAGCCAGTTTCACTTAGTGGAAACCGTCTGACCTCACATCATTAGGATTTGTTCGCTTGATGGTAGACGGGTACTTTTTTTTTTTTTAACCAATCGCTGCTATTTGGTCATGATGTATGTAATGCTCCGCTAATGGAGCAAACTGGTATATTAAGCTTTTCCCAAATCCCGTAGGAAGAAGGACAATAACGTCTTTCCCCTTGATAAAATTCACCAAACATTCTCTTTGTTCCGGCTTTAAATCCTCGATCTCGGGAATCGTTGCCAACACAGAATGTCTGTCTTCGTCTACATTCATCTCAACTGTTTTGTTTACTGTTGTGCTGTACCACAAAATGGACCCAGACAGATGCTTGAGTTTGACGTCATGGCTTCACAGCTCTTCACTGATTGACCGGTGCACGATCTACAACTTCTGGAGTTCTCGCAAACTGTCTAATGTACTCTGAACCTTGACCTTGTGGCTGGAAAGAAATGAAATTGAGCGGAGGCACTAGGTGACGGGCCCTCCACCTGAAAAATTACACAATACACAAAGTAAGATCCAAGGAAATGTGTGGAATTTATTGGAACACCCATACAGAGGATTCGGAGCCTTCAGAATGCTTTATAGCAATTACTGAAATAATGCTGCTATCCAAATTTGTATCCAAAATCAATATATATGATTTTACATTATAGTCACTAGTCACTATAGTAACAATCCAAGGCTATTAATAGAAAGTTTGCTCATTTAAAGAAACTGATTTTAATAATTTTGTTTGGTTTTCAAGACGATTATCGAAAGGAAGCAGGATTAGTTGGTTTGAACCTAAAGGAACTCTCTCTGCAGTTGGAGGGTCTGAGCTTTCACGTGAATCATGACCTGCCTATATACAGACAAAGAATTGTTCCTTTTTTAAACAGTTAAAGAGCTCAGGCTGCATACAATTTCTTTAACTAGATTCTATTTCACAGATCTATAAAGCTTAAAGAGTCCACATTATGCAATTTTTTAATCTGTTATAATGTTGGTTCTTCATCACAAACAGACCTGGAGTCGTGTTTTGTTTAATTTACACATTTTTAACACACAAACCCTGCATTTTTAGGCTGAGTTCTTCTCTCAAATGAAACAAAACACAACTCCAGGTGTGTCTTTGAGGAGGTGACAGCATTCCAACATGGCTTAAAGCTCACAAGAGTAAATTTTGCGTAATATAGGAGCTTTAATGCCAATTGGAGGACAGAGATAGAGGCCACTCAGATCTATAGTCTCCAGTAGAGGTAAGATCTTAAGACCGAGCCCAAGCCCGACCCGACCCGACCCGAATAGGCCTAAAATGTCAATCATTACTTCGGGTCGGCTCGGGCTCGGGCTTCAAATAAATATATGTTTATAAAATGTATGCTAAAACGATGTGTGGATACTAAACTAAGGAATACTTGTTATAAAATAAATAATATGGATAAAACAGAGAAGTAATGTAAGGTAATTGCTATTTAACTACTAAACAGGAGCCGCAGAGCCAGAGCTCTGCGCACGTGAACGCCCCCTCTTAATTTAATAATCTTCCCCTCCGCAAGTCTGCATCTATTTTGACCTGGTATCCCCAATATGGAGGAGCAAGAAGTTAAACTAAAGGCAGGAGAACTGAAAAGACAAACATGCACTGGTAAGAGTGAGGTGTGGAAAAGCTTCAAATTGATTGTTGAAAATGCTACAGAAACTTGCGTTGGCTTCGCTGAATGTCGTCAATGTGGCGCTTTGCTTTCATACGAGAGCAAAAAGACTGGCACCTCGACGCTAAGCACTGCTCCTCTTCCCGAGTCCTCACAAATAAAATATGACATTTCGGGTTTGCTTCGGGCTCGGGCCTGCAAATCAAGTTAATTGGTCAGGCTCGGGCCGGGTCGGGTTTTAATACCCGCGGGCCGGGTCGGGCTGGATTTTTTAGTCCCGATCTCACCTCTAGTCTCCAGCAGCAGGTCTGAACATTCATATCCAAATCCTACAATACTGAACACACATTAGTTACAGAATCTGTGAATGAACCACAAAAACACAAGTTAATGCTATTTGGGAAGCGTGCCTATGTTCCCACAGCCTTATGTTCCCTCATTTCTAAGTTTTGTTTTTTCTTTCCAAAATTAGGCCGTTTGTTCCCACATTTCCTATATCGATTTGCGTCAGATTTTATTGTCATTTCTCCCAATTTGGTCGTCAGTTACACCCAACCTATTGTCCAGATGTAATGTAGAGGTCATAGTGCAAAGGATTCTAGGTTGAAATGACTCTGAATCATCTCTTTAAATGTCGTAAAAAAATAAAAATGACTTGAATTAGAGTTTCGGTTTGAGATAAAACTTAGAAAAAAGAAAAACCTTAGAAATGAGGGAACATAGGGCTGACCTCTGCTATCGTTTGGGACAAGGTGATATGAATTTTTGAGCCCATACTGACATCCAATTTTCTCTTTCAGCTGTAGATGAGATGTAACAATAACCAAAATATCGTGATATCGTCAAAGTTCTCACAGTAATATCGTGGACCATCACAATATATCGAATTACAAGTCTCTTTGCTTAAATTAAAAGTTATGAGGCAGCAATAGCTAAAAAAAACAAACAAACAAAAAAACAGAGGGAACTACATAGACCATGAAATAACAGTTCTAAGCACTTTTATTTGAATTTATTTATTTATTTATTTGGAGGATAAGCCGTCTCATTTTCGAGGGCGTCCAAAGGTAATCACAACAAGATGAACCACAAAAATTCAACAAAATTATCAAAAACAATTACATGGGTTGTGTAAATATTAAACCAGAGCATTTTTAAATGAAGGGACAGAAGTTAATGCACGAATCGATGATATTTATATTTAAGTGCGTGTTTTCCTATTTGTTTTTTGACTCTCGGGACAACAAAAAATATCTGATCAGCGTGACGTAAACTGTAAGAGGATCTGAATGGAATTAAATACTGTTTGAGATTCAGGAAAACTGAGATGAATGCATTTAAAGGTAAATAATAACCAGTGAAGTTGACATCTGGAGGACAGAGTGAGCCAGGACAGTTGGTGATACATCGTACAGTGGTGAGTTCTAGATAAACGTTGAGTGGTTGGAGGATAGAAGTTGTAGTATTTTGATAAATGTTATCACAGTCATCTAAAATGGGAAGAATTAGTTGTGAGATAATCTTTTTCCTAACAGAAAAGCTAAAACAATTGATGGACTGATAGAGTAATTTTAAGCAGTATGAAATTTTGTTTGTAATAGTTTGAATTAGGGGTGTGCAGAAATATTGAAATATCGATATATTGTATCGTTTAATGTGATGATACAGTATCGATATTGTGGGCTGCTGTATCGATATATATCACCAAGAGTCTTTTTGGTATGTTTTACTAAATTATTTTGTTACAGCTACAGTTTTGTTTATTGTTTAGAGGAAGGAAACTTGTTTATGTGACACATTTGACATTTTCACTGTTTTGATGATTAAAATGTTTGTGTTTCATATGAACTTTGCACAAGAAGTGGTTCAACAAAGACTTTAGTATCACAGCCATGATTTAGACATTATTTTTTATTGGACCGTATCGAACTGATTTGAAATATATTGTATTGAATTATATCAAATCGTAAGCTCACTGTATCAAGATATGTATCATATCGTGGCCTATGTATCGCGATATGTATTGTATCGGCAAATTCTGAATGATACCCAGCCCTAGTTTGAATATGAGCGCTGAATGAGAGTGAAGGGTCAAGCCATAAACCAAGATATTTAAATTTATCAACAGCTATAATTGGTGATGAATCGGTAAACGTCAAATTTATATCATTAACAGGAAAAAGACGGATTCGTTTCTGGAACAACATAAAATATGATGATTTTAAGTCTTAGTTCTTTGGATTAAGTCTTGTCAAGGCATTTTAAAAGGAAAAATTCAGTTTCGTTCGCAGCCTCCACAAAATATTGCAAAAAATATCGTACTAAGAGATATTCTTACATCCCTAATCGTGAGCTTCCCCACGATATCGCAATACATATCTTACCGTGAGGTTCATACCGTGACGATATTGTATTGTGAGACAATGGATATCATTACACCCCAAGCCAATAAACTATATTTACTGTTACAACACTAAGATTTTTACAGTTGTATATTTAAAGGTGCATCGTGTAACTTTTCTGGTGGAGGGTCCGTCAAGTGCTTTTCTCTATGGAAATGTTATTGCTTTGTCTGGAATGTTACACAGTATGGAATTAAAGCTTTCTATCTTCAAACCAGGCCAGGTTACAGGTCAGATCTGTGGAGAAGCGACCCCGCTCACAGTCAGAATACCTATTTTTCTAAGTATTTTTTTAATCAATAAACCCACCTGTAATTGAATAAATGTAAGGTAGACTTGTTTAATGTCATACTGTGGAACATATCCATAGAAACAAGCAGGTCATGAACCCCCAACCGAAATGTTACGTAGGGCGTAATTGCGTAATTGGTCCATTCGAAAAGACAAACTGGGAATGACACAGAGACAGGGCCGATAACTAATGATCTCTGGGCAAACTCTCCGATATCACTGGTGCCGATACTGGAACTGATATATCGCTCATCCCTACCTCATATTCATTAAAGATGCATTGCGCAACTTTTCCGGTGGAAGGTCTGGCATTAAACACATCCATCTGGCATTTATTCATTCCAAGTGTTTCTGTTGCTCAAAAATACAATAATTCCTTCTGTGAATAGGAGCGACTCTCCACAGATCTGACTTGTAATGTAGCGTAGTGCTGTCTCGTCTCCCTCATGATTGATCAGTTTTAATGTATACTGTGGAACATTCTAGACAAAGCAATAACATTTCCATGGAGACAAGCAGGTGGCGGACCCTCCACGAGACATGTTACGTAGTGCACCTTTAAAGCACTGGAGCCCGTTCATGGTTTTGTCTCTGTTTTTTGGTTGGTGGAGGGTGTGTCTTCTCCTCTCCGCTCTTCTATTTTTAGCTCAAAGACAGTGGGCACGTGAGCTCAGTCTGGCTCTGCAAAACTGGTGACGCATCTTTTTTTATTATTTATTTCATTCACTTTTATTTTTTTTTATTTTTTTAGAACTGAACTATTTTTGTGCAGTCAGACTTAGCACTAAATCTAGTATAAAGAACCCAAACACAGCTCATTTTGGAGTTCAATGGATGTGACGTTTGTTTTGTTTTGTCACAAGATGATGATGACGTGACTGTTAAAGGTCCTATATTACACAAAACAGACTCTCATGAGCTTTAAGACATGTTATAATGTTGTTTCCTTCTCAAAAACAGACCTGGATTGTGTTTTGTTTCATTCATGCATGTTTGAGTAACACTTTATAATTAGTCTGTTTCAGCGGTTTTCAATAAGTGAGTCCCACCTGCCCTGGGGGGCGCCAAAGAGCCAATGAGGAGGCACAATATGCAGACTAAACAAGGACTGATCCCCGGACTGAACCAGGACTAAAACAGGACTAAACCAGGACTAAACCAGAACTAAACCAGAACTGAACCAGGACTGAGTGTCTGGATGGGCCAGAGGTGCACCCGCGTAGACCATGGGGTGACCGCAGGCGAAAGGATCAGGACAGAGCTCCACGCCCCACAGGGCTAAGCTCAGCCGTCGCCTGATCACACTTTGCAGACACCCTGCTCCACAGACTCGGGGTTCTCCCTCTCTCTCTGTCTTTTTAGATTAGACCTGGTTTAGTCCCGGTTTAGTCCTGGTTTAGTCCTGGTTTAGACCCGGTTAAATCCTGGTTTAGACCCGGTTTAGTCCTGGTTTAGTCCTGGTTTAGACCCAGTTTAGTCCTGGTTTAGACCTGGTTTAGTCCTGGTTTAGACCCGGTTTAGTCCTGGTTTAGTCCTGGTTTAGACCCGGTTTAGTTCTGGTTTAGTCCTGGTATAGTCCTGGTTTAGACCCGGTTTAGTCCTGGTTTAGACCTGGTTTAGTCCTGGTTTAGTCCTGGTTTAGACCCGGTTTAGTCCTGGTTTAGTCCTGGTTTAGACCCGGTTTAGTTCTGGTTTAGTCCTGGTTTAGTCCTGGTTTAGACCCGGTTTAGTCCTGGTTTAGACCCGGTTTAGTTCTGGTTTAGTCCTGGTTTAGACCCGGTTTAGTCCTGGTTTAGTCCTGGTTTAGTCCTGGTTTAGACCCAGTTTAGTCCTGGTTTAGACCCGGTTTAGTCCTGGTTTAGACCCGGTTTAGTTCTGGTTTAGTCCTGGTTTAGACCCGGTTTAGTTCTGGTTTAGTCCTGGTTTAGTCCTGGTTTAGACCCAGTTTAGTCCTGGTTTATACCTGATTTAGTCCTGGTTTGGACCTGGTTTAGTCCTGGTTTAGACCCGGTTTAGACCTGGTTTAGACCTGATTTAGTCCTGGTTTAGACCTGATTTAGTCCTGGTTTAGTCCTGATTTAGTCCTGGTTTAGACCCGGTTTAGTCCTGGTTTAAACCTGATTTAGTCCTGGTTTAGTCCTGATTTACACCTGGTTTAGTCCTGGTTGAGACCCGGTTTAGACCTGGTTTAGTCCTGGTTTACTCCTGGTTTAGACCCGGTTTAGACCTGGTTTAGTCCTGGTTTACTCCTGGTTTAGACCCGGTTTAGACCTGGTTTAGTCCTGGTGTCCTACTAATGATACTAATGAAATGGCTAACTAATGCCTTTTAATGGGTAGGACACTGGGGGGGTTCTACGTGTGTCTCTGTGGCTGAATGTTCAGGAATTTCCATCATTACACAATGCACCATTTGCAAAAAAAGATTTAAGACAGTCTGAAAATGCAAGAAAAAGTCCAACATGGATTTAAACAGCACATTTTCAGGAGCCTGTGATCATGGTTCAAGCACAAGGTATCTTCTTCGATAAAATAATCTTTGTTTTGTCTGTGTGATCCCCAGAGCTGCTGAGCGTAGTCTCCAGACCCTCCTCCTCCCCCCGTCACCAGCCTCTGTCCTGTATCCAGACTGAAGCCGCCCTGAGCCCTCACCCCTCGCCCCTGTCCCAGCGGAGCAGCCCGCAGGAGGGGGGTGGGGCCCTCCTGCAGCAGCTGGCCGGAGGTCCTGGTCCGGTGCCGTCTCCGCGCTGCTCCAGCCTCACACACAGCCTCAGGTTCAACTCGGACCCAGACATGGCCCCCTCCCCTCCCTGCAGCCAACAATACATGCTGTGAGTGACATTACTGGGGTTCAGAAAGAGGGGACTGTATAGAACTAGAAATGAATGTCTAGATCTATGATAAAAACACTAAAGAGGTCAGAAAAAGATGAATTTTCAGTTAGGTTAAAAGTCCTATATTACGTGAACTTGATTCTTGTGAGGTTTAAGCCATGTTAGAATGTTGTTACCTCCCCAAAAACATATCTGGAGTTGTGTTTTGTTTCATTCACACATGTCTGAGTACCATATTTTTCGGACTATAAGTCACACTTTTGGGTGGTTCTGCAACTTATACTCTGGTGAGGCTTGTATATTAAAATTTTCACACTGACAGTCGCGAGAGGTTCTAGTCTTGTGTGTCAGTATCTGCTGCTCCTATTACTCCTGTACCACTGTCACTTCACTCTACTGCACAGGTCTCCTACAGAAAGAGCCACTGTCCTGTATGTATCATGTCAGTCGATCTCAACATTACTTCTGTACCACTGAAAATTTAAAATTTAAACAAACTTAAGACAACTGAGAAGACAGAACACAAATGCTCCCAAAAAGAAAATCATATTTTGCAGATTATAAACTGCAAGTAGCGAAATATTCAGCCGAAAATGGTAACTGAGCAGCAGAAAGAAAGTTTGGAGTGAGTGAGAAACCTGTGACACCGGGAGGATGCACCATGAAACTTTTCTGGAAGTCACTGGATGGATCGACAAAGCCTTCAACTGAAACCATCCTCTCGGGATTCAGAAAGGCCAGAATAATTCTAACTGGAACTGATGCTGAGTCTGACGACAGCTGCACAGAAGAGGAAGCAGCGCTCTGTTCAATGGAACTCAATGGATTCAGTGATTTGGAGTGAGATGGAGAGTTTGTTAAACTTGTTCTGTTCTGTTGTTTATGTTATAGTTTAATCTGAAGAACTTTTCACATGTGACGTTAACAGTCTGTTGTTCTCTGTTCTATTGTTATTACTAGAACTTGACTTTCAACAGGAAATGTCGGTTCCTGGTCTCTGATTTTATAAAATAAATTTCCCCCAAAAAGTGCAACTTTTAATCTGGTGCAATTTACTATTTTTTTTTCTTCTTCATTACTCATTTTTTGGCTGGTGCGACTTATACTCCAGAAAATACGGAAATACTTTATTATTAGTCTGTCTACATCTGCAAAGCTCAGAATGCTCTTTTCCATCTTGTGATAGTTTTCGAGTTCACAGTTTTACCTTTTATTCAGTATAGTTTGGCAATTCCAAGGCTCATATTACCCAGATGATTCTAGTGAAGGTGTATGGACATCACAAGGTGGAACAGAGTGTTTTCAGTTTGAGAGAAAAACTCAGCCTAAATATGCAAGGTTTGTGTGTTAAACATGTGTGAACGAAACAAAACACAACTCCAGGTATGTTTTAACGAGGAAACATTATAACATAGATCAGAAAATATCTTAATATGGACCTTTAATGTTAATGTTGAATATCCAATATAATATCAATATAAATCCAATACATTATTATGATAAAACACAGTGTACTTTGTCTCTGAGTTGTTTGTATTTGTTTTCGGTTCAGGAGTCGTGGTCGGAGTGAGGTCCATGAAGACTCCGGACCCCCCTCCATCCAGTTTCTCACGCGACACATTCAAGTGCTCAAGAGGAGAGTGCGGAGATTTGAGGAGCAGTTTGAGCAGGAGATGAAATACAAGGTGAGTATTTGAACATTAAAGGGAAATATAATACTTGACCCAATGTTTTAAATTGGTTTATTTTAAGATGCTGATGTTAGTGTTATTACAATACTATAATTTCAATCTGATTTAGACAAAGAAAAGACTTGGTACTGATTTTGATGATAAAAATGATAATAACACCATAGAATGTAATTTCCAAAACAAAAAAAAATAAGTTTTTCTAAAAGTATCTACTATCACTAACTGGTCTTATGCTATTTCACGTCAAAGTTGTATGCAGCTGAAATATTTGTATTACTATATTACTATATTTCATTTTTACTTACTTTTACTTAGCCCCCCTATGCCATGCGGACCTCCTGATCCTCCCGTGCACCGCCTGAACTGCGCCTCCTCCCGTGTTTCCTGTGCCTCTAAACCAGAACTAAAACCAGAACTAAAACCAGAACTAAAACCAGAACTTAAACCAGAACTAAAACCAGGATTTAAACCAGGACTTAAACCAGAACTTAAACCAGAACTTAAACCAGGACTAAACCAGCATTAAACCATGCCGCACGTCACCAGTCGGTGAAAATATTGTCCCAAAAAGAGTCCCCCGTATTTCCCATGCCTCTAAACCAGAATTAAAACCAGCACTAAACCAGGACTAAACCAGGACTAAACCATGCCATGTGTTGCTGATCCGTGAAAATATTGTCACGAAAAGAGCCCCTCATCCTCCCTGTTTCCCATGCCTGTAAAACCAGGTCTAAAACCAGGACTAAACCATCCCGTGGGTCACTGGTCCGTGAAAATATTGTCACAAAAAGAGCCCCTCATCCTCCGTTTCCAGTGCCTCTAAACCAGGACTAAACCATGCCATGCGTCGCTGGTCCTTGAAAATATTGTCCCAAAAAGAGCCCCCCCTCCGTTTCCCATGCCTTTAAATCAGAACTAAAACCAGAACTAAGACCAGAATTAAAACCAGGAATAAACCATGCAGGACATCGCCGGGACCATGAAAATATTGTCTCATAAAGAGCCCCCCGCCCCCTCCTGTTTCCCGTGCCTCTAAACCAGAACTAAAACCAGGACTAAACCACGCCGCACATTGCAGGTCCCTGAAAATATTGTCCTGAAAAGAATGAACATATGGTCCATGATGCAAAAAAAGGTTTGTGGATCACTGCCTACCTCTTGTAAAGAGTTAAACTGCAGCATCTCATCCATATTATCCATAGAAATTGTCCTCCACAAATAATGACAATTATTATTACTAATCCAATCTGGGGCCTTCTTTAAAAGTAAAAAGATGAGAGTAGTGCCTAACGTGTGTCTGTTTACATGTGAAGCTGCAGATTAACAATAGTGACTCTATTTCCCGTGCACTTTATCACCAAACTTTTATGCTTTAAAAAGAAGTTCTGCACCATATTTCACAAATAATAACACAGTTTGGACTTGTATATGAACTAGAAGTGCAGATCTTTTGAACAGAGTCTCAAAGCGAGTGATTTTACTCTAGACAGGAAACAGCTGACACGATCGAGCTCACAACTTTATATCCCGCTGCAGTCTTTGCGATCGGAGATTTTAAGTCTCATAAGATTCTCCTTGTGTCTGTAGTGCACGCTTCTTGTTGCACGTTTAAAAAAAAAATTTAAGACTGAAAAATCCTGTAGTGTGTGGCACCTTTAGATCAATATGGTCATAAAATAATAATCCACCGGTATCACAGATTATAATATATATCTGCATATGTTTTCTGTGTTTTGTTTCAGCCGTCTCACAATGACAAATACTCCAACCCTGAGATCGTGGGAGTCATGAATGAACTGGCCAAAGCGCGGAAACAACTTAAAGGTGACGTGTTATATTTTGTACAAGTAAAATAAATATAAATGTGCTTTTATAAACAGGCTCAAATAAATAAATAAAGAAACTGATTTTTTCCCCCTGTTCTTTACTGAATTAGAGTTGTTGTTTTCTTTTTTCTTTTTTTTTACAGAGTTGCGCCTCAGACAGTCAGTCTTCGAGTCAAAGGAAGATGAAGGACAAAGCGGTGATGTCTGCAGGTAAAATCAACTTTCAAATATATGAAAGAAATATTATTAACTGAGAAAACTGACCTCTCTGCCGTACTCTACTGCCATACACTACTGCCGTACACTACTGCCGTACACTACTGCCGTGTACTACTCCCGTACTACTCCCGTACTGTACTGTAATTCAAAACCTACTGTACCTTTTTCGATGATCCTACTGTGTAATAAATAATACAATTTTATTCATGTTGTTTTTATCGTGTTTATATCCTGTAAAGAGACTTTAGATGTTAGAAAAGTACTTATAAATAAAATGTAGTAGTAGTAGCAGTAGTAGCAGTAGTAGTAGCAGTAGCAGCAGTAGTAGTAGTAGTATTAATAGAAGTAGCAATAGTAGTATTAGTATTAGTAGTGGCAGTAGTAGTAGTAGTAGCAGTGGTAGTAGCATCAGTAGTAGTTGTAGTAATAGTAGTAGCAGTAGAAGTAGCAGTAATACTACTACTGCTATTAGTAGTAGCATCAGTAGCAGTAGTAATAGTAGTGGCAGTAGTAGCAGTAGCATTAGTAGTGGCAGTAGTAGAACTTATCTCCATGTAGCTCTGTGGAACATTCTTCGCAAAACAATAACAATAGAGACAAAAGTGACAGACCCCCATGAGAAAAGTTACAGAGTGCAGCTTTATTACTGCTAACTCTTTATATGTGTGTATGTCAGTATTTGTATCATAAGTCAAAATAATTTAATGACAAAAACAATAAAAAAAAAAAATAAATAAAAAACAGAGTGAATGGAGTTGTTTTTATCTGATTGCAGGTACGGCAATGGTCAGCAGGGGGCGACAGAGCACAAACCCACTCTGGATGAAACCGTGGAGTCTCTGTTCAGACGATTAAAAGAGAAGAGACAGAGCCTGGGCCTGCCTGAAAACATGAAGGTCTGAGTTTGGAAACATTTAAATTAATCTTAAATTTATACACAAAACACAAAACAAAACTGGATAAAATATGACTGTTATGTTATGAGGATTATACCAAAACTAAAACAAAATTAGACCAGGACTGAACGAAAACTACACAAGGATTAAACCAGGAGTAAACTACATCTAGACCAGGACTAGACAAGGACTACACCAAGACTAGAGCAGGACTAGACCAGGAGTTAACTAGCAGTAAACTACATGTAGACCTGGACTAGACCTGGACTAGATCAGGACCAAACCAGGAGTAAACGACATCTAGACCAGGACTAAACCACTACAAAGCCAAGACTAGGCTGGGAATAGAGCAGGAATAAACGACATCTAGACGAGAACTAAACCAGGACTAGACCAGAGCTAAACAAGGACTAAACCAGGACTAGGCCAGGACTAAACCAGGAGTAAAGTACATCTAGATCTGGAGTAAACCAGGACTAGACCAGGATTATACCAATATTAGACCAGGCTTAGACGAGGACTAGACCAGGACTAAACCAGGAGTAAACTACATCTAGACCAGGACTAAACAAGGACTAGACCTGGACTAAACCAATACTAATACTAGACCAGCACTATACCAGGACTAGACCAGGATTATACCAGAACTAAACCAAAGTTAGACTAGGACTAGAGCAGGAATAAACTACATCTAAACCAGGACTGGACCAGAGCTAAATGAGGACTAGACGAGAATTATACCAGAAATAAACCTGAACTAGACCAGGACTAGGCCGCAACTAGACCAGAACTAAACCAGGACTAGACCAGGACTTGACCAAAGCTAAACAAAGACTAAACCAGGACTCAACCAGAGCTAAACAAGGTCTAAACCAGGACTCAACCGGAGCTAAACAAGGACTAAACCAGAATATACCAGGACTAGGCCAGGATTAGAAAAGGATTATACCAAAACTAGACCAGGCCTAGACCAGGACTAGACAAGGACTAGAACTGGACCAAACCAGGAGTAAACTACATCTAGACCAGGACTAAACCAGGACTAAAATAACAACAAATCCCTCCATATTTCCATACAGTTATGAACAATTACAACTGTTGACATGGCAATTAACAAAACTAAATACTATTTTCCCAAAATGGCACCCACAGAAAAAGTCCCTTCATAGGTCTTAATATTTTGTTCCTGTCTAGTTCATTGTATTTTAAAGCTCCTATATTACACAAAATGTACTCTTGTGATTTTTAAGTCACATTATAATGTTGTTACGCCATCAAAAACAGACCTGGAGTTGTCTTTTGTTTCAGTTTCATTTTGACTGATTTATTATTTATTTTTTTCTTTTGGGGATTTAAAATGTTTTTGTGTTTTGTTTTGAGCAGGAGATGACGCAGGCGCAGATGGTTTTGGAGAAAATCACCCTTCAGAAATGTCTGCTGTATTTTGAGAGTCTCCACGGGCGACCGGTGAGTTTGATAAGGACTAGATCAGGACTAGACCGGGACTAAACCAGGTCTAGACCAGGACTAGACTGGGACAAGACCAGGACTAAACCTGGTCTAAACAAGGACTAAACCAGAATTATACCAGAACTAAACCAGAACTAGACCAGGACTAAACTAGGACTAGACTGGGACTAAACCAGGACTAGACCAGACCTAAACCAGGACTAAACCAGGAGTAAACTAAACCAGGACTAGACCAGAATTATACCAGAACTCAACCAGAACTAGATCAGGACTAAATCAGGACAAAATTAAACCAGCACTATACCAGGACTAAACCTGGACTAGACGAGGACCAAACCAGAAGTAAACAACATCTAGACCAGGACTAAACCAGGACTAAAACCCGGGACTAGACCAGAACTAGACCAGAACTAAAAAACATGACTGGAACAGGATTATACCAGAACTAAACCAGAATTACACCAGGATTAAACCAGGACTAAATCAGGACTAGACCAGGAGTAAATCAGGACTAAAAACCATGACTAGATCAGGATTATACCAGGATTGTACCAGGACTAGACCAGGAGTAAACAACAATTAGACCAGATCTAGATCAGGAGTAAATAACATTTAGACCAGGACTAGACCAGGACTAGACCAGGACTAAACCAGGACTAAACCAGGACTAAACCAGGACTAAACCATCCTGTTTTCATTGTGTGTGTGTTTGACTCAGGGCACAAAGCAGGAGAAGAACCTGGTGAAGCCGCTCTACGACAGATATCAGATGATCAAACACCTCCTGTGCACCAGCCCCACCTTCTGGACAATCGTGAGTTTACACATACAATTATTTACACAGAAATTCATTCATTCATTCTGCATTTTTCTGAACATGGCACCTTTAAAAATTAATTCAACTAAGAACAGTGTTGGGGAGTAACGGATTACATGTACCGCCGTTACGTAATTAGAGTACAAATTATGAGTAACTGTATTCCGTTACAGCTACTGTTTCAATGAGTGGTAATTGGATTACAGTTACTTTGCTGAAATAAGTGGATTACAAGGCGGTATTTTCCTGTTTTCACATTTTGTGCTACATCCCATTTATTTATTTTTTTATTTCGGTAATTTCACTCATTGCCGGAAACCCACACAGAACGCGCAATAAGAGCGATAGAAACGTCATGTTAAAGTTGGCAGTGTCAGTCACACAGTGGAAGCAGCAGTGCATTGGTAAAAACGCATTTGTGTCTTGGAAATTCTTCTCCCGATGTGAGATATATATAAAAAAAAAACAAATATAAAATCG